TAATTCGCACTTGGCCCGGTTGGCCTTGTACTTGGTTGTACGTAGCTTGTCCAAAACGGCGCGTAGATGCACGATGTGCTCGTCCAAAGTCCGACTATACACCAAGATGTCATCGAGGTAGATTAGCACGAACCGGTCCAACATATCGTGAAACTTTGTTGTCATTGCCGCCTGGAAGGTGGTTGGGGCATTCGTGAGGCCGAATGGCATTACGACCCACTCGAAGTAACCGTACCGTGTCTTGAACGCGGTTTTGTATCAATCTCTCGGATGGTCTCGAGCTGGTGGTAACCGGCCTTGAGGTCCAACTTGGAGAAGTACTTGGCACCGCCCAAGCGTTCGAGAAGATTGTCGATGCTTGGGAGCGTGATGGCATTCTTAATTGTTTGAGCATTAAGCTTACAATAGTAAATGCATAAGTGCAGCTCCTTGTTCTTCTTCCGAAAGAAGAAAACGGGTCCACCGTAGGGCGAATCCAGCCCTTGTCAATGAGGTCATCGAGTTGCATTCGTCGCACTTCGAGTTCCTCCTCGCTCATGCGGTAGATACATCCGCATGGAGGTACGGCCCCGTCTTCGAGGATGATCTCATGACGAATTGGTCGATTCGGTACGATTCCGGTGGGGGCTTCAAAGACATCACCATAGGAGTCAAGAAGTTGTACAATCCGTGGATCCGGTGGCTGTTCCGCTGCTGGCTTGTCAGGAGGAGGGAGGGCGTGCAAGAAGCAAATGCCCATTTCCTCCACGTTGTTCCGTGCGATGGAGTTGCGAATGCTTGCCGCGGAGACCACGTGACAACCAATCGAAGGGTGAGGTGGGGGGACCGTACATGGAAAAAGTACCCCGTTCCGGTCACAAATGTGAACGGTGCGGCGGTAGAAGTTCACCGGGTGGTCCTCGCTGCGCAGCCACAACATACCCAAAATCATGTCGAACTTTGTGTCCAATATGTCAAAGGACACGGCCTCGCGTGCATGCGGGGCGAAGTACACGGGGATGGAGTCAACGCACCGCTCAATGGACTTGTGCGTACGACCGTCGGCCAACGTGACTTGCATGGGCTGCGATTTCCTTTGAACGAGTGGCCCAAGACCGGCGCGCGTCATGAAGTCTTGGCTGATGTGGTTGCGAGTAGCTCCACAATCGATCAAAGCGATGCAGGTTGCCTTCCCAATTTGAATGCGGACGTAGAGTAACGGTGCATCGATGTTGTCGTACCGTTGTGTGGCGAATTCGCAGTCAATTTTTCGCAATGTACTCGCAAAGGTCAACAACCGCTACTCCGTCTTCCATCAACAAAGTTGGTACTGCAGTGTGCAAGTAGTTGCATAGTTCCGCCATTAGGGCGTTGCAATGCGGATTCGGTAAGGAACCAGATGGGGGAAGAGGTATCCATTGGAAGTCCTCCGACGTCAATGGGTCGAGGTCCTCAAGTCTAGACCATATCGACGAGTCCCCAAATATTGTCGGTGAGGACGCTGGTTCGCTTGGCGATGGTGATGAAGTCGAGCACGCATATGACTCTTGCACGTGGAGAGGTTGGTCCAACGGCGGGACCAGCTGGACAGCATAGTCTTCGTAGCTTTCTTGAAGACTTGCGACCTACGCATGTTCCTCGGATGTGGAGGAGGCTGCTAGCAAGGCAACCATGTCCGGCGGAGTAGGAAGTGGAGTCGCCTTTTTTTTTTTTTTTTTTTTTTTTTTTTTTTTTTTTTTTTTTTTTTTTTTTTTTTTTTTTTTTTTTTTTTTTTTTTTTTTTTTTTAGGGAAGGCCCTTGTGCAAGGCCTCTATTTTGGTGGTGGTAAGAGAACCACCGAGATTAGGCTTTGCCCGGCGGGCCGCTCCATCTATTGGTGGGGAGCAACACCTGCTGGAAACTGGGTCCAGCGTCCCTTAAATACATCTTTTACAAAACAGTACATCTTGAAAGTGACGCCATTGTGCTGGAAACCGGGTCCAGCATCCCATATCCAATCTACTCTTCCATACCCAACCTACAACAGGGTCGGGTATTGGGGGGAGAAACACCGGGGGGCACCAGTGGAGTCTCCCTCCATCCCCTAGCCCCTGCCATCCACCTACTATCCTCATGGCGCCTATTGTGTCTTTACTGAACATTAGACTCTTTCCTGAGAATGTACTGAGAAATTTACGCTGAGAATCGACCTCAGCGTCCCATAGGATAAAAAACAGATAGTCAGGCCCCGTCCTGGCATCCCTTAACTGAATCATTTCAAACCAGATATTAATGGAAGTGACGCAAAAGCGCTGGAAACCGGGTCCAACGTCCCTGACCTAATAAGCATAGATTGTGCCTAGAATTATATCAGATTAATCGACTCATGCATCATCCCCCAGACGCACCTCCAGGGCCCATGGATGGGGGGGAAAGGGATCAGCAAACTCCTGGGCAGGTCGTAATGGAACTCCGGGGTCCACTTTCGTCCAATCATGGAAGTGTAGTGAATAATCCCTTTTTAAGTTGGCCCCCTGCTCCTCTTGCGGAGTCATATCGCCCGACCAGCACACCTTTGCCAGCCATCCCTCCCTTTTTCCCCCAAGCCAGTCCTCACAGAAACGGGAGATGATCCTATCAATATCTACCTTAGTATGCGCCAGGTTTAGATTGTCCTTCGTACTCTGGCATTGTGCAGTGATCTCGCACTGCACCAATAGGCGCAATTGCTCCATAGATTCCCCCTCTTCCACCCTGGCCCCTTCCAATTCCTGAATGCATCTTCTCCACCATATCACCCACAGGATGGAACGCCTACCCAAGGCAAACATATTCCTCAAAAACATGTTTGCTTGAGACTGGGGGAAGTGGCCCAATAATATACTCCTCCAGTCCCAGGGCCAGGGGGAATCTGGAACAATGTGCCGCCAGATTCTGTCCCACCATCGCCATAGGAGTATGGCAGCCAGGCACTGCAAGAAGATGTGTTCCACTGTCTCGGCCCTTTTTTGGGCAGGGAAATTCGAGAGGCACCCTCGGCAGGGTAATGCCTTCCCTTGTTGTTCCAATCGTGTATGATCGATCAGCCAATCATTGGTAGGCAGGCACCAGTGGGCAATTTGCCACTGTAGGGCAGAAATTTTGGCGGGCCTTTTCCGATATTCCTTAAACCACTAGATAGGCTTGAGTAGGCCTTTATCAATATTGAGGTGACGATGCCACCTTTCCTCTACCGCGTCTCTAAGCCCGCATCAAGGTCTAAGCATGTGATACACCGATTTAGTCTTTAAGTTAGCTAACGCTACTGATATCGTCCTCCCTATCCTTCCTGATACTCGTGGACCTTTTCGCGTCCAAGTCCATTCCTCGGGGTCAAAGGGGAGGTCTTCAATCGGGGTCATTGGCCGGTATGCTCTCCATCCATTTGCCTCTTCTAACACTTTGATGTGATAGACTTCCTTTTTCTCCTTCCAGATGAAAGAGAGTCGGCTCCCCAGTAGCTGGCCGTTCTTGGAGGGGGAAAAGAGCTCAATTAGCACTTGCACGTGATCGACTAGGTGTACCCTACCTACCTGAGTGCCATGACCTGGTAGACCGACCCAGTCCCCCTCCTCGAAGGAGGGGCCTTTCTTAAGTGTGACATACCACTGGAGCGGAAAACTCTCAATCAGACTATCTAGCATTGACTCTGTGAGGTGACAGTACCTCAGGCATCCGCGCATTCTATTGTTTTTTTTCCACTCCCCTAAGTCTTTATCCCAAAGGTCCCCCACCTTCCTAATTTCGTGCTTCACCCAACCCTTCCACGGGGGGTCCGAGCAACATCTTACTTGACCCAGGGAGTCTGTAATTAACCTGTTACCGAATAGGGGTTGCCTAAATACTTCCTCCCACCTTCTTGGCATTGCACGGTCCGAGATTGGGAGTTTCCTCTATGTACGGAGGAGACGTATCCAGTGTTCATCTGCCAGGTCACCATTCCTATATTTCCTTGGTAACCTCCAATACCTGTCCTCCAACCATACCAAGGGGTCGATCTCGGGAGGAGCCTCCGGTGCCAAGGCAACGATCTGTGCCAAGGCTAGGGGGACCAAGGGGGAAGAGGGAGCAATGTGCTGGAGCCAATGGATGCTAAGTGTCTGCAACTGTGTGGAAGGGTCCACAATTCCAAGACCACCACCGGCCTTAGGCTGGATAACCGATTCCCAAGCAACCCGACTAATGGTGTGGGAATTGTCACAATCCCCTCTCCAGAGAAAGGCTGCCAGCTGACGCTTGAGGGCCCTGAGCCCGCTCTTACTCATGGGCCACAAGATAGCCTTGTACCAGAGGGTGGCTAGGACGACGTTGTTAATGACCAGAGCTCGTCCGAAAATTGAAGTATGCTTATGGTTCCAACTAGACAGTTTAGCTTGGGCCGACCTTCCTAGCCATTCATCGTTAGTATCTGGCTTACCTTTGGCCATAATCGAAGCTCCTAAAACTCTGAGAGGGCAATCATGAGGAAGCCACTTAATTCACGGGTCCTCAGGGGGTCTTCCCCCTTGGTGGTGCATCCACCAGCCAATAGTCTTTTGTCCCCAATTCACAGTCATGTCAGAAATCCTACAAAAGCGGCACATCAGGGCTTGGATCTCAGCCATGTTTTGTGATGTTGCCTCAACCAGGATGGTGAGGTCGTCGGCAAACAAAGAGCAGATGGGCACTGCTTCTTCAGGGTCACTTCCCGCGAAGCTCAGTTTCCCGAGCTTTGTCGTGGACGAACGTCTTCTTTGCCTTTGTCGGGGCATTGCGACGTCGTGTGCTTGGTGCTATTGCACCAATAGCAACAGTTCCACTTTTGGCGGAGCTTGTATTGCTCCTCCGTGAGGCGAAACTTCTTCCACGGTTCGTTCGGTTGTCCGACTTCCGTTGTTGACGCGGATTTCGCCTTTTTCTTCTTGTTGTTGCGTCGTGGCGGAAGGGCATTGACTCCGCCTCCTTCACTAGACTCGTGAGTCAATGCCTGGTCGTCCTCTTGTCCATCGCATTGGACAACAGCAACTTGCTGCGGACGCGGGCCTTTGCCCTTCTCCACAAAATTCGGTTGGCTTCACCGCTCATTGGCGGCCCACTGATTTGTTTGGATTACTTCGCACGCCTTTTCCACGATCTGGTCGAAGTCCTTGGACAGGCTCCGCTCCCCAAGGGCCGTGCTCAGTGCGTCGACCGACCGCTGGAAGAATTCACGACGAAGATGTACGAAAGGTATATCTAGATTCAGAATCGTCACACGTTTCTGCCATTCGGTTAGCCATTCTCGTGTTGACTGGCGACCTTGGTGCATGGTGAAGATCCGGTTCGCGCCTTTGCCTTGAGCATCATCGACGATGAAGCGTTTCCGCCACTTCTCGGTCTTGGACTCCCAAGTGATCTTGGTGTAGAGCTTAGTGACCTCGACGCCTTCAGTTTGTGCCAGGTGGTTGAGCCACACTTGGCTGGCACCGGTGCTGCAGACGTAAAGAGCTGAGATCTTCGACTCTGGCGAGACCAAGTGAATGGAGAGCTCGTTGGTGAACCCTTGCCGCAAACTTATGGGGTCCACCTTGTGGTAGTCATCAAACTTGTCGATGCTGAACTTCAGCATCTTGTACTGTTTAGACGTCATGTTGTTGCAGGTCCCGGTTGGCTGCCGCTGCAGCTGACGCAGGTCCGCTTGTAGGGCGGCTATTTGCTGGCTGATGGTCGCCAGCCGTTGGAAACTGTTCAAATTTACGACGAGCGCTACCAGGTGATCCATTCGTCCTTCCAGCTCGCGGATCGATGGATCAGTACTTGAGGATGTCGTGTGCCAATGCGGTACGTCATCCTTCTCCAGCATGTCAAGGCGGGCGGGGAGACTCTTGAGAGTCTCCTCATAACCGCAAATGACATGTGCCTGCTGGGCCAACTCCACTTGTTGCCAGTTGTAAGTGAGGATGACTCGGTGCATCATGTTGGTGAGGGCTGCCTTGGTCTGTTCCTCCGCAATCGGTTCCGTCGTCTCCGCCGGATCAACATTCCATGCTTGGAGTGCGGCGGTATGAGCGGCTTCCAGCTGCATGAGGACGGATGTGGCATCTTGTTGAGCTTTGTTATGGTTGGCAGCTGCTTCAGCGTGCTGCCAGCGTCGTTGCTCCGCGTCACGTGCAATGGCGTTGAGTCGTGCGGCTTCGGCTGCCGCCTCGCGTCGCTGTTCCTCTTGCACCTGTTGCATGTAGGTGGCCAGGCCGGCCATGAAGGCCGTCATGGTCTCACCTTGCTGCCGGACTGGCGCAGCGTCGAGGGCTCCCGCAGGTGTCGCAGTGGAACTCACCTGCTGGACCTGTGGGACCAGGGGGTTCGTACTGCATACCTCGCGTGGACTGTCGGATGCGGCATTGTCCACCGTGGGGTTGCCTTGTGCCTCCATTTCGGAGGGGAGGGGCAGGGGTAGCGGCTGTTCTGCTGTGACTGCCCGCCCTTCACGTGTTGCGATGCATCTGCTGCGCCGGAGCATTAGCTGCGGCTGACGCAACACTGCTGACGTGGCCCTGCTGCTGATGTGGAACTTCATTGGCGTGGCAGTTGCTGACGTGGCACTTGCCGAAGTACAAAGAGGGGTGGGAAGAAACACGAAGACAGGCAGACACCGGACTGCAATTTCCAATCCCGGGTACTAATCTGAAACGGTATTCACCAGTTCGAAGTAGCTGATGCAGGACCCAGGGTTCGATCCCTAGTTCCCCAACTTACCTGTGAACAATATCTGTGACAACTTGAAGAATTGAACCTGCGACCTGTAGGACCGCCAGTGGTAAGTAGGTCTGTCGTAGGTCTTTAGGTAGCCAGGATTTGATCCATAGACCTGTAGAGTAGAAGTCCAGCTGCAGTCCTTCTAGAAGGATTGGCAAGTGGTCAAGTGGTGTGACTAAAGCAAGCCCA